GGATCCTGCTGACGGTGGTGGTGATCTTCAGGATACTCATTGTGGCCATTGTAGGGGAGACGGTGTACGATGACGAGCAGACTATGTTTGTCTGTAACACGCTGCAGCCAGGCTGCAACCAGGCTTGTTACGACCAGGCTTTCCCTATTTCTCATATAAGGTACTGGGTGTTCCAGATCATCATGGTGTGCACTCCCAGCCTTTGCTTCATAACGTACTCCGTTCACCAGTCTGCTAAGCAGAGGGAACGGAGGTACTCCACTGTCTTCCTCACCTTGGAGAGGGACCAGGATTCTATGAAGCGTGAGGACAGTAAGAAAATCAAGAACACGATTGTCAATGGGGTGCTGCAGAACACCGAGAACTCCACCAAAGAGGCAGAACCAGACTGCTTAGAAGTGAAGGAAATCCCCAATCCTGCTATCAGAACTACAAAGTCAAAGATGAGGAGGCAAGAAGGCATTTCTCGATTTTATATCATCCAAGTGGTCTTTCGAAATGCCCTAGAGATTGGATTCTTAGTGGGACAGTATTTTCTGTATGGATTCAATGTCCCTTCCATGTACGAATGTGACAGATACCCTTGCATTAAAGAAGTAGAGTGCTATGTCTCTAGACCCACTGAGAAGACTGTATTCTTGGTATTCATGTTTGCTGTCAGTGGGATTTGCGTGGTGCTCAATTTGGCAGAACTGAACCACTTGGGCTGGAGAAAGATCAAAATGGCAGTGAGAGGAGTACAGGCAAAAAGGAAATCCATATACGAAATCAGAAATAAGGACCTGCCAAGAATGAGCATGCCTAACTTTGGCAGGACTCAGTCAAGTGACTCAGCTTATGTGTGAGGCTGTGACAGAACTGAAACACTGTGCCAGGTGGAACAGACCCAGACACCGTTAGAGAAAGGTACATTGCTTAGGCAAGCATTTTATCAAACCACCAAGAAAGCCATTAAGGTATTGGATCTGCACTTACTGAACTAGCTGCGAAATGCAGTGCTATGTAAAAGACTGAAAAAACAGCTATAAACCCATGCTTGATCTAGCCTTACAGCACAGCTACTATTATTCCTACTTTTCTTTCTAATGATCGGGTGTTACCTGTCGGTGGAGCGGCTTTTTGCTCGTCATTAGGATAAGTTTACAGTTTGGACTGTCTGAGTGTTGTAAACGTGTAGAATGTTCATATTAAAAATCTGCAAGAATACTCTATATGGGGTGGGATAGTGTGGGGGAAACTGTTGCAAAGTGCAGATGTAAGCATGTTTTAAAAGGAGGGTAATTGCACTGCAAGGAACCTGACCACAGCTCAACTAGGATATCTGCGTTCACCTGTCACACAGATGTCTTACATTATTTTGCTCGTCTAAATCACAGAGTTTATTCCTGGTGTGTATTACTAGCTATCTTCTATCATAGTTTGTGCATCAATTAGTTATGCTGAACAATAAATGCTGAATATAAGTTTGCCATTTTTTTGTTTGCCTGTCCACACACACACACACCAGAGACCTTAATCATCTTACATTAGTTGTGATCTGCAAAATATATCAGTACATTTCAGTTCATTCCCTAATATGTGCATGAAGAAGATGCAGTTGGTTCATGCCAGCCAAGTTATGTATTTACCTACAATTACCTATGATGACACACATACCAAAGGAACAGAGTTCATTGCTTTTAACTGTGAATATATCACCTTCTCTTATTTATATAAGTGCCATACTTGAAACATCTAACTCTGTACTTAGTCAAAAGGTTGTCTTGGGATACCAGCTGGAATAAAGTGATTTTATACTCTCCTTTGTTTATTTTATGCTATTTGTTTAGTCATTGCAATCGTGTAAAAAGCAGCTAAAATCTCTATTGATAAATAAAGTACTTGCCTTTTTTTGTAAGCCAGAGAGATTTGTTCTTCTTTATTATTGTATACAACTGTAGAAACATACAGGGTCTAAATAGTTGACTTACAACAATTCTTCAAGGCTTAAACTGTCTTGTTGATATTCTAAACACTAAGTGACAAAACCTGGGAAATCAGGACTATTTGTTACACCTGTTTTCCTCCTTAAGCAAGCTTTCTTTGTCTTTAAAGCCTGATCCAAAGCCCACTAACACCAACAGCCTTCTTTCTGCTGACACTGAGGGCAACACAGTTGGCCGCCAAGGTCACTCTGGGAATAGCCAGAGTACATTTACCTATACATGAAGCAATTGCAGCTTTTCATCAGGGAATCCAAATATTAATCTCAGCTTTTCTGCCTTACAGCTGGTTCAGGTTCATGTTCACGTTCATGTCCCATCAACTTACTGGTAAGCCACTGGGGCAGTCACAAATAAATCTCTGTTAACAGCAACCATTTTAATATAGGATACTAACTTTTTCTTAAGGACTTATTTAATTCCCACTGAATTCAACAGAAAATATCCCACTGGCAACAGTAGGAGTTGGATCAGGACTAAAAAACCATACAAGTGCATTCCTAACTAAATATTATCTACCCTTTAAAGAAAAGGGCCAAAATGGTGCTGGAAAATTCGGGGATAGTTTATAACATAAGAAGGAGACAGGGTGTCAGAGACACAAAAGGCCTTTTGATTGTATTTTATTTCAAGTGTAAAAATGGATTTTATTGTATTTTGGCTTGGAGATAATGCATATAAATCTTTTCCTCTTGGCTTACAGTAAATACCTTAACCTTTCATTCTTGTGGTTTGCCAGCATTGTCACTTAAAAAAATGTCGATTAATTCTTAGATAGTGTATCCATTATCACTTTCATCTGTGGTCATTTTTTCTTCCACTGTGAAACATAAAAAACTTTGAGATGTGTCATGTTTTTAAAGATTTTTAAAATATTTTTCCTTCTGTATAAAATGAACGGTTTTCCAATTTGATTATAGAAACCTATAAAGATGGATTTCTCGAATGATTCTTTGCGATATAAATGCAAACTGATATTGCTAGTTGACTGCATGCTCACTGGAAAACCGCGTGTTATTTTTAGAAGGACAACGTGGCAGCTAAAATCTCCATCTGCAGTATAACAAGCTTCTGAAGATTATTATTTGACACACAAATCCAAGTCTGATTTTCATTTTGCAGAGTCCTGGGTTGGTTTGCAAAATCTCCTTTTGAATGGATATTGAAGGGAAAAATGTTGTTTGACAGTCATAAGCATTGTTTTAATATTGAAGAAATGGGAGATTGTGTGCAAAGGGCTCGATCCAGTGCCAATTAAAGTTGAAGGAAAAAACTCATACTGAATTCACTGGGCTTTGGTTCAGGTTCAGCATAATCTCCTGTTAGGCAGAAGCCCTAATGCAAGTTATTTCCAGTGGCTGCATAGCAGTGTTTAGTCAAACTCTAGTGAAGGTGCATGTCTTGATAGCTTTAAGGTTTTAATACCTTAAAAATCCTTAGATAAGACCAAGAAAGGGTCTGTTTATAATAGTCAGTGCCAGTGACTAAGTTCATTCAATTATTTTATGCAGTTGCACATTTTGTACTCCAGTAAGTTGGGATTCTTCAGAATTTTCATAAGAGAAATATATATGGAAATGCAAATGTTAATTTATGCAACAGGATCTGTGATAAAATAGGCAAAGACTCATATTTTGATCAACAGAAATACCATCCTCCATATTTACACTAAATAGAATATGGCTTTTCATATTTCAGAAAAGAAATGAAATGGTGTCAAGAGATCAATTGTTCTAGCCTTCCTTTTCATTTCTTACCAACTACTTATTTGTCATGGGCAAGAGAAATATCGCAAACACTTCTTTTTGTCAATGTATCATGTGAGAGTCATATGATTAATGCTAATGGACTGTTTGCATGAAAGCTGACTGTTCATTTACAGAATAAATGCTTTCAAATTGTCACAGCAATGGAAAAGTGTGGTAAGTGAACAGAACTGATTGAACATGAAGCTGAAGGGCACATTACTGGCCACTTAGGTCTTGATCCTGCCTTGACGAAATGAATTAGTCTTGCCATTGACATCTATGGAAGAATCAGACATTAAATGTGAAAATTGAGTTCATGTTTGTTTTATTCATTGTATACCCTGTTTTGTACTGGTGGACAACATTTTATCTCTTCATATGTGCAAACATGAAAATTATGTTCACTAAGCTCTTATGGAAAACAGCAGTAGAATTTAATACACTATTGGTTCTGTGGAATTTTAAAATTTACATAAAATATGATTTATTTCATTTTTACATAGGCTTGATCTTATCCTTCTTGAACTTGTGTGAATTTAAAAAACTATTTACATAGGGGTTTTGAACCATTTCACTAGGTATATATAAGTTGCAATGAGATTCTACAAAAAGATTTTTAAAAAATGAGGAATTCTTTTTTCTAAATGAAAACTAGCTACATTTTTACTGCTCCCATAAATAGTTTAGTTTTAGAGACCATTGACTTTGAAGAAATATAAGGGTTTTCATCTTTCTTAAGGAAAATCTGAAGAACAAAGAGATGAACTGAGGTGAATGAATCATGGAAGCAGTGAGATGGATTTTAGTTTGTTTTACGCTAGAGAAGTCAGAAATACGCAGAAACTCCAAAGCGGGCTCGGTGCTTGTCCTGCATTATATCTAATAGGACAGGACATGGCTGCTGCTATGTAGAACCATAGGAAAAGATGTGCATGAAATATTAAAGTTAAATGTGAGGAAGAATTATTTTCATCCACATCTAAAAGAATACATTTCTTGTAGGGCAAGAGGATGGACCAGGTGGACATTGTCCCTGCATTCTTCTGGCTTTATTTTGTTTGAATATAAATGTTCTGCCTTACTCCTTCAGTGAAACAGATTAAAGGCTTTTGTTTGGTGTACAAGTATAGAAATAGGAATAAAAAGATTGAGACATATGAGGACAAAACAGGCATAGGTTTTTCTTATTTAGAGTCCGGTCTTGTTCTTCATGAATTCAATGATGAGACTTTGTTTTCTGTGGGACCAAGTCAATTCCCAGCTGGGGGAAAACTCAGTTCCGTTATTTCATGAGATTAACAGGAGAGATTACACTATTTCTGTATTGCACACCCATCCCTGGACATGTTGGGATACTTCTCCCAGAAATTCTATTTTATTGTAAGCTTTCAGAAAACATACTAGGTTAGTATCTGTTACTAAACCCGATTCTAAACCCCACTGTCCTCTCAGTGAAACTCTGATAATATCTCTAAGAAGAAAAATTACACTAGGAAGTGCTTCATATTATGTCTACCAAAATATACTAAAGAAGTCAATCAGGAGTCAGCAGCCTGTGAAATAAGTGCAGATATGGAGAATTCCATAGCACTTCATTAATAATAAACCATACATATACACGTATATACATAAATAGCTGAATATATGCAAGATTGATAAAAGAATTTTACCTAAATTATATTAGTGTGTTACAGATTGAATTTCAGAGATGGATACAAAAGAAGTCGCATATCTAGAGACAGTTAAAAGCTGTGCAAGTAATGCACAGGCATGTATTCTTACAACTATGTGCAATGACCTGACTGGATATTTAACATGCAAAAAACCCCAACATTCACCCTTTTCCTGTGAAATTCTGGGGCTATGGGCTATACTAATTGCTTTAGCAAGTTTAACTGCGCAGCTGTGTATCTAAGTTATAGCTAAAAAGAGGCTTGCCTTCATTGCATTAAAATCTATCATCTTTTTCCTAGTGGTGGCTGAAATACCGGATGAATTAGATCTCTAGCTTGTGGAAACCCGCGTGTACAATGACCCTCTGATGTCTCTTCAAAGTGAGAATCTCACCTATATTCAACAGAATGTGAAAGTAAGGTAATTTTCTACTAATCTACCTCTTTTTCTGTATGTGGTGTGGCTAGAAAGGACAGACGAAGGTTACCAGTACCTGGAGAATAATTAATACATCCTAAAGTGATTAAGCAATTCTGGACTTTTAGTTTCTTTCACTGAAAACAGCATTTGCTGCATATGATTTCTCTAGAAATATATTTCA